TGTTGCGTGTGACTTTAGCGGCTGCGGTGACCCGCGGTTGCATCAGATCAGGAACCAGCTGCGGCAGGCTCTGCCCCCCACGCAACTTCCCTCTCCCTCCCATCCCTCCTCCCGCGCCCCCCCCAGCCCGCGGCAGGGACCCCGGCCCCCCGCCAGCCCGCGGCGGGGACCCCCGCCCCCCATTCCCCGCCCGCCAGGTCGCGGGTCAGCCGGGCCGCGCACACTCAGGCCGCTGCCTGGCGGCCCCAGGCGGGGTTCAGTTTCCCGGGGCATGGGGTTGGGGGTTGGGGGTCGGGCTATGGCATCCCCTGTCCATGGAGCCCCACCGTGCCTCGGTGTGAACCAGGCTGTTGGCCGCCCCGTCCAACCCAAGCTGTGGACAGGACACTCCTGCCCGGTTCGCAGGTGGGGAAACTGAGGCTCAGAGGTGGGCTTGGACCTCCCAGACACCACGGGACCACCGGTTAGATGTGGGGCTTCCCCGGGGGTGGGGGGACGGAGAGGAGGGTCCCCAAGGCGTCACTCACGCTCTGGGCTGAGCGTCCCGGCGGCGGGGACGGGCGCGGGCTCTGAGTTCGAGTCCTCCCGGCTGAGGTTCGCCCGCAGCCTGGCCAGCAGCTCCTCGTAGCCTTTCCGCAGCTCCTGGGACCCTGTGGCGGCGGCGGCGTCGGTCCCCACGTCCCCGAGGTCCCCCGAGCTCGGGGCGCTCTTCTGCGCCAGGGACAGGGCGCCCCCGGGCGGTGGCCACCCGAGCACGAGGGCCGCCAGGGGCAGGAGCAGCATCGGGCAGGGGCGCGGTGGCGGCCGGGGACCCGGCCCGGGCATGGCCGGCTGCCTGCGGGGACTCTGAGCCGGACTGGCGGCCGGGCTGCAGGACGGCCCTTATAGCGCCGGACTTTGCCTGCCCCGCCCCCGCCCCGCCCCCGCCCCAGCACGGCGACACTCCAGTGACCCGCCCCGCAGGATCTTGGGGTGCATTTAGGGTTGGGCTGGGTGGGTCACTCCAAGGGGAGCTGGGGCACGTCTCTCTGAGCCTCAGTGACCTGTTGCATGAATTGGGGTCACTGTCCTATCCTGGTAATCTTTTTGGAGGAAAAAAAAAAAAAAAGACTTGTTACCATGTGAGAAATTCCAGGCGGGAGCCTAAGAGGGGGGCCGTGTCCCCCCAGTGGACTCCCTCTCTTCCCTGTCTGGTTGGGTCAGAGCTGAGATTTGAGAACAAGAGAGCAGAGGAAAAAGGGCTAGAGGCCAGGTGCGGAGGCTCACGCCTGTCATCCTAGCCACTGGAGGCGAGGCGGAGGATTGCTCGAGCTCAGGAGGTTGGAGACCAGCCTGAGCAAGAGCGAGACCCGTCTCTATTAAATAGAAAGAAATTAATTGGCCAACTAATATATATGGAAGAAATTAGCCGGCGTGGTGGCGCATGCTGTAGTCCAGCTATCGGAGGAGCTGAGGCAGGAGATCGCTTGAGCCAGGAGTTTGAGGTTGCTGTGAGCTAGCTAATGCCACGGCACTCACTCTAGCCTGGGCAACAAAGCGAGATCTGTCTCAAAAAAGAAAAAAGGCCAAAAGAGCCAGAAAGGGCAGCCCGGGCAATGCATTCTGCTCTGCTGTGCCTCAGTTTCCTCGCCAGGAAACAAGGACTGAGCTTTCATTTGAGAGGTAGTCAAAAGTTTTAAGCAAGGGGCCGAGGCACACGGAAGGTGCAGGATGAACTGGCGTTTTATCGCAGTCATTCATTGCCTCTGGAGAACCCCTCCCGTGCTTTTCAAACCCTGCTCAGAAACGCCTGCTCCAGAGCGCCTATCCACAGGCTTTTCCAGGTGCGGCAGGGTGCTCCGACCTACGCTTCCTCTGGCCCGAGCTGGCCCACAGCGCTGGAAGTTCGTGCCGGCTTCTGTCTAACCCAGACTGGGGGCTCCTCTGGGCATGGATAGGTCCCCATTTGGCTGGCCCAGAGAGAAGCGGCGGGGAGCCTGGGGAGCTGAGGGTCCCGAGGCAGGGAGCTGGTGTCAGGTGCAGCCCGACACGGTGTCCAGGAAGGGTCACATGCCCCCCCCCGCTGCGTGCCCAGCCCCCAGGGCAGCCTCGCTCCTTCGTCGAGCTCTGGGCATTGCAGTAGGGCTTAATAAATGCTTCCGCTTGAGCTCTGGGCTGCGGTAGGTGGCTTAATAAATGCTTCCGCTTGAGCTCTTGGGCATGCAGTAGGTGCTTAATAAATGCTTCCGCTCGAGCTCTGAGCATGCAGTAGTGCTTATAAATGCTTCCCGCTCTCCGCCGCCGGGCTTGGGGCTGTCATCTACGCTTACCGTGGCTGTGTGGGGTGGGGGCTCTTGCCCGCTGCGTCACCCGCGCTGGCACACGGGGGGGTGCTTCCAGGAAGGCGCGCTGGCCAATGCCCCCCGCGGAGCCGGCCTCAGGCCACTCTGAAGTCACCCTCACCGGGCCTCGGCCAGCCGGGAAGCGCGGAGGCCGGCCGGGGGTGTGTGCGGAGACCGGGACTGTGGGCCCGCCCCTTCCAGATCAATAGCAGGCACAAGAGGGCACTCGCATCGGCCCGTCGCCATCTGCAGAGACGGGCCGCAGGGACAGGCGCGGGGCCCTTCACGGAGACCTCTCTGTTGTCTCCGGGCAGCTGGACATCTGACCTTTCTTTTTTTTTTTTTTGAACGAGTCTCGCTCTGTCGGCCGGGCTAGATGAGTGCCGTGGCGTCAGCCTCGCTCACAGCACCTCCAACTCCTGGCTCCAGCGATCCTCCTGCCTCAGCTCCTCCGAGTGCGGGATGCAGGCATGCGCACCATGCGCTAATTTTTTCTATATATATTAGTTGGCAATTAATTTCTCTCTATTTATAGTGAGACAGGTTCGCTCTGCTCAGAGCTGTCTCCAACTCCTACATCGAGCGAGTCTCCGCCTCGGCCTCCAGAGCGCTGGATGACAGGCGTGAGCCGCCGCGCCCGGCCTGCTTTTTCCTAGAGGGTCCTTTAGGGCGAGATCACAACCTGCGATGTTGGGGCAGGGGCAGAGGGAAGCCGGGTGGGGTTGGCACGGCCACCAGCCACAGCTTGGCCACGGGCAGAGAGCCCAGTTCAAAACCGGCTCTCTAGGCCGGCGCGTGTGGTCACGCCTGTAATCCTAGCTCTGGGATGCCGAGGCGGGCGGATTGCTCGAGCGATCAGGAGTTCAAATCCAGCCTGAGCAAGAGCGAGACCCCGTCATCTACTATAATAGAAGAAATTAATTGGCCAACTGATATATATATATAAATTAGCCGGGATTGGTGCTCATGCTGTAGTCCCAGCTTACCGGAGGGCTTGAGGAGAAGAGATTCACTCGAGCCCAGGGTGTGAGGTTGCTGTGAGCTAGCTGACGCCACGGCACTCACTCTAGCCTGGGACAAAGCGAGACTCTGTCTCAAAAAAAAAAAAAAAAAACCGGCTCTCTGTGGGATTTCCACAGGGAGAAGTGTGGCCCACAGAAGCCCCTGGGCCCCGAAGCCAGCCCGCAAATGGCTTGGGTCTCCCAGAGCCCCGTCCCCGTTCCTAGTGCGCGTCTGTGGGTCTCCCGGCAACTGGACTTGCAGGGCGAGGCGGGGGCATTTGCGGAAAAGCGGGAGGAGAAAAGGGTTTGGGGGAGGAGCGGTGGGCTGGCTGGGCCTCCCCGAGGTCTGGGAGGCTCGACACTTGCTTGCGCCGACAGCTGTCCCAAAACCAGGCACGGAGTCCGTTGGGTGTGGCTAGCATCTGGAATGATTAGCCTTAAAGAGGCGCGAGTGGCGGCTCACCCTGCAACCCCAGCGCTTTGGGAGCCAAGGCAGGAGATCACTTGAGCGCAGGATTTTTGAGCCAGCTGGCCACATGGCGAGACCCATCTCTAGTAAGAATTTAAAATTAGCCCGATTACGTATGGCTAACACCCTGGGACTCTTCGCAGTGGAGGTTCCAGAAACATTCCAGGCTCAGGAACCCCCACCCCCGCCACGCCCGGGCTCCTTCTCATCGCTGTCCCCAGCCCATGGAGAAAGCCAGTGGTATCTCTGTCGTCAACGGGCGCGTCTTGCCCGGCGCCCCTTCACGAGGCCGACCGTCCTGTCGCCGTCACTGCGTGCCCGTCCTTTTCTCTCGCTGTATAGTATTATTCCGCTCCCTGGTGCGGAAGTGCGGCTTACACTGGTGTCCGTCACCGCAACTGGTTTTTATTACCTTGGCATTTCCAAAGGGGCACGCGCCGGAAAGGCCCCTGGAGCCGGCCACCCCCACTTTCCCGGTGGGGTTCCGCTGGCCACACTTGGGAGGGCGGCCGGGCCAACCGGCTCCGGCTTCCAAAACCTTTGCTCGGTGACCTCACCGCGGGCTCAGAGGCGGGCGGGCGGCTCCGGCAGCGGCCAGCGTGAGTTCATCGGTGCCGCCCGGATCTGGAGCCGGGGCGGGGCGTCCATCTCGATCCC